ACCCTGGGGGAGGGCGGCGGCGGGGAGTGGGCAGGGGCGGGGCCAGAACACCGCCCCTCGCCGGCCCAAGCCCCGAGCTCCACGGGGCGGAGACCCGCACCACCTCCCGAAGGGCGGGCTCGCGCTGGGGCTGCTGGGAGTCGTAGTTTGAACACGTGCACCCTGCTCTTCTCGCTTTCTTTCTCGCTCTTTTTTTCCTTCTTGGCGGTGGGAGGGGCGGGAAGAGTGTTCTTTAAATTGAGAAAGAGAGCCAGTCCCTCATTTAATTTAGTATTGTCTCCATTCAGGTCTGTGCCGATCAAAGATGCTGACCAACATTGCTGTTATATAAATCCGCTTCAGTACATTTGTTTCTGGGAATTCATCCATTATCCATTTTGCATTTTACTTACAAACTCTATGTTTTGCTGCTAAAGTAAATCCCACCTCCTTGAAATTAAGGTCTTCATGTTTTATCCAGGGAGGAGTTCATCAATGTATTCACTGATTCTACAAATATTTGAGCCTCTAAAATGTATCACTTAGGGGGCGCCTGGGTGGCTCAGTTGGTTAAGCGACTGCCTTCGGCTCAGGTCATGATCCTGGAGTCCCAGGATCGAGTCCCGCATCGGGCTCCCTGCTCGGCAGGGAGTCTGCTTCTCCCTCTGACCCTCCTCCCTCTCGTGCTTTCTGTCTCTCATTCTCTCTCTCGCGAGTAAAATCTTAAAAAAAAAAAACTTTAAAAAAAAAAATGTATCACTTAGGCATCAGAGATACAGGATGAATATGAATCACTTTGCCTTTGTGGAGCATTCAAATATGCAAACACAGTAATTAAACTAGTGATATCTGGTATGAGAAGAAAACTGGGAAGATTATTTTGGATGGGGTGGCCAGAGAAAGCATCTTTAGGGAGACAACATTTAAGCTGAGAACAGAATAGAGACGTAAGAATCTCCTAGAAGAAAGCATTACAGGCAAAAGGAGGAAGAAAAGGGCTTGCTATGATCAGTTAAGAAGACCTGTGTAGCTTGAGCTTACTGCAAGAGTAGTGTACTGTGAAAAAACATTAGGGTAGACAAGATTCAGGTCAAGAAGGATCTTGAATGCCATGCTAAGAAGTCTGGATTTGCTCCAAGAAGCTATTAAAGAGTATCAAGCAGGGAAATGATCTGGCTTATACTTTAAGATCACTAGATTGCTATGTGGAATATGTAGTATACAGATGCAAGAATAGAAGGGAAATGAACTAGAAAGGCAGTAATCATGACGGACACTAATGAGATAGTGGAAATGGAGAAGGCAGCTAGATTGTGCTTATGTATAGATGCAGAATAAAAACCCAATTGATGTAGAGAGAAAGGAATCAAAGATCAATATGGCACACTATTATTAGATAACCCGAAAAACAGTCCCATTATGAAACACATTGAAATGCTGGATAAAACAGAACATCCCTTCAAAGGCATAACTAAGCTTTCAAGAAAGAAAGAGGAATACCTCTGATAGTTTTCCGAACTCCACACAACACAAAGAGGGAGCAAGAAACCTGAGTGGCAAGCAGAATAGTGAAACTATGGTTGTACTGAGGGTTATGTACCTATCTCAGAAATCTCTGTGGTTTTACTGGCTGCACAGAAGACCAAAGACAAGGCTCTGGGCCTATACAAGGAGTTGGGACAGTGACGCTGCATAAGGCTGGAAAACTCATAGGGCTATGTGCTCCAAGAATAGCTGGGGATTAAAAAAAATCCCCTGTACCAGCCCAGCGAGACAAGCAGACATCAGTATGTTTTAGTCTGGACTTGGCATGAAGGGGGAAACAATCTCCCTTTTAGAATTCATAACCACAAGCTTTCCCTCACATGGGTTTGAGAGTTCAAGTTTATAGTACCTATACTGTCCAGGAAACCTCAAGTCAAGAAAGTGGTCCCAGGCTGGTAGTGTTTGGAGGCCTGGAAGAAACAAATACAAATCCTCACTGCACAGGTTCACTCTTAACCCAGGACTGAAAGGATTTCCAAGGATAAACAGGATTTCAAAAGCTAAATATGAGCACCCAAAATATAATTTTAATATACCTGAGGAAATAAGCCACCATGAATGAATCCACAGAAATCACAAACAAAATAATGAAGCCTGTGAACTTTAGATAGTGGAACTATTGGTTACAGAATGTAAAATAAGTTTATTAAAATGATTAAACAAAATAATACATGAGTAAGAAACAAGATACTGCTTTTTAAAAAGTGACCACGAAGCTTTGAGAAGTAACCAAGTAGAACTTCTACAAATAAAGAATTTAATAATTGCAACCAAAGCCAATGTTTGGGTTAAATAGCAGATTACACACTGAAGGGAGAATTAGTAAACTGGATGACAGATCTAAAGAAATTACTGAGAGCAGCCCAGAGACAAAGGAAGTATGAAAGAAAGATCAAGAGACATGGGGATAGATTGTGAAGATCTAGCATATACTTAGCAAGAACTCTGAGAGAAGAGAGAAAACAAAAGGGATAGTAGATGAGATAATGGCTAAGAATTTTCCAGAACTGAATAAAGACAAGAACCTTCAGATTCAAGAAGCAAAGTGAAGCCCAACCAGGATAAGCAAAAGAAATCTTTTCAAACACATCAACATGAAACTGCAGAATACCATAGGTAAAGCAACCAGAAAGGAAAGACACACCCTACAAAGAAACAACTATTAAATTTCTGAAGATTTATCAACTGCAACAATGGGTGCCAGTGGACAGTGGAAAAATATTTTCAAAGTACCAAGATAAAATAACCAAATTTACAAGTGTAGACCGAGCTAAATTATCAGTCATATGAGGGTGAAATAAAGATATCAGACAAAAGCAGAGACCGTTCGTTGCTGGTACTGTAAGTGTTGTAGCTACACTTGTGGTGCTTGGGGCACCTGGGTGGCTCAGTTGGTTAAGCGGCTGCCTTCAGCTCAGGTCATGATCACGGAGTCCTAGGATGGAGCCTGCTTCTTCCTCTCCCTCTGTCCCTCCCCCCACTTCTCATGCTCTCTCTCACTCTCAGATAAACAAAATCTTTAAAAAATAAAAATTTAGGGGCGCCTGGGTGGCTCAGTCGTTAAGCGTCTGCCTTTGGCTCAGGTCATGATCCCAGGGTCCTGGGATTGAGCCCCACATCGGGCTCCATGCTCTGCGGGGAAGCCTGCTTCTCCCTCTCCCACTCCCCCTGCTTGTGTTCCCTCTCTCACTGTGTCTCTTGCTGTCAAATAAATAAAATCTTTTAAAAAATATATAAATAAATAAATAAAAATTTAAAAAATTAAAAATACAGCAGTTGGTAGAGCATGCGACTCTTGATCTCAGGGTCATGAGTTCAAGCCCCACGATGGGCATAGAACTTACTTAAAAAATAATTTTTTTTAAGTTAAAAAATAAAGTGCTTATTCATTTTTCAAGTATCCAAAGATAATAAAGAGTTCAAAACCAGAAATGTTGTTATATCAAAAGTGATATAAAAAAAAATGATGTCATCTGCAACCATTTATTAGGCAAGAAGAGTCATATCAAAGTACTCTTCATTCACTTTCACATTTTTATTACACCTCTGAATACCTGTATAAATGAATAAATGGCTGAATCATGTCCCAGGCCACCATCTCAAATATTAACTTGAAAACTTATTTAAATACTGATGACACTTGGTTCTGATATGCAAAAGAAAAAAAAATATATATGTACTCTGCCTTCCCCGCCACATATACTCTTAAGAGGTACCATGTTCCCCTGTCTATTCATACTTCAATATGCTGTCTGTTGATGTTAACTGAATTTTAACTGACATAATTTCATTTCAGTGCCGCTATATTAATCCCACTGTGAAAGAAATGCTTGTAAAAAACACGGAATTCTTTCTTATAAGAAAATGCTAAATAAGTAAAAAATTAGACTGGATTTGAAATTTTAGTGGTCTCTAATATTTCTTTTTTTATGGCATTTGGTTGCCTTTTTCAAGTTCTTAAACATACCTTCAAAAAGAACTATTATGACTAGTCAAGTCATACATGTCAAATTATAAAAGATTTATTCCCATAAAAACAACAGAATGTTTTAGGAAATTAAGCAGTGCTAGCATATATAAATGTATATCATTCCATTACTCTATGAAACAAACACTGTCAACCAAACCCTGGTTTATTGGCTTCTGTTCTGAAACATGCCTGTCCTCAATGCATTGCCCTAAACAAACAGAAGGACATGCTTGCCTTTTTATTTTCATTTTTTTTCAAAGATCTTATTTTTAAGTAATCTCTACACCCAATATGGGGCTCAACCTCAAAACCCTGAGATCAAGAATTATATGCTCCACTGACTGAGCCAGCCAGGTGCCCCATACCTTTATGGCACTTACTTTGTTTTCTAATTTTTTCCCAAGAAAAATAGTGGAATAAGAGCTTTTTTTTTAAAAAAAAAGAAGTCACTGAAGATATAAAAAAGAGGGGCACCTGGGTGGCTCAGTCGGTAGAGCATGTGACTCTTGATCTCAGGGTCATGAGTTCAAGCCCCAAGTTTGGCATGGAGCAAAAGATACAAAAAAGATTTTTTTTGTAAATGTACAACTTAATAAAAAATACTCTAAAAATGACAATCCGAATTGTCTTCCTGACAAATTCAGTACTAAGTATTAGTACTTAGTACTTAGTTTCATCTAGCCAATTCATATATTCAAAACAGTATAATAAAATACAAAAGGAGAATGGAAATGCTTTAAGGAATAATCAATCTTGATATTAATAATTTCTTAGCTGTCCTACTTTATTTTCTTTAAACTCTCGATGAGTAACTTTAATATTCAAAATTCATGTTTAAATAAACTGATTCATCCAAAATATTTTATTCTTATTTATAATGATTTTCTCAATTTTTAGCTGAAATTAAAATGTTTCTAGTCATAAAATGAGAATAATTTGTCTCTAACATATAAAGTACTCATTTTCGTAACCGAAATGAGGATAAAATCACTTCTCACAAGATAAATATTTAACAAAATTAAGTTTCCTCTTCTATTGGCACTTGCTTGAAGATTATCAAAGGTCTATACAACAGAGCACTAAATTCTGGAATTGGTTGAAAATGATCCAAAATTTCCTCTAGTACACATAATTTTAGACATAAATGAATACAAAAGCAATGACAATTCTAGAAGAGCACTTCTAATCGCAAGTAAATAGGTCTTATTTAGGTTTATGGGAAGCATTAAACTCCATAAAACTTATAGGGAAAAATGGCCGTATTTGAAAACAGCCACAAGGATTAGAGTGGAACACAGGATGGTAATGAGCAGAGTCACAGAACATACTAAAGAGGTATGTATAGTCAGTCCGACTGGAACCTGTAGAGTCACGTTTTTATATACCTAGAGAGAGAGAGAGAGGTTAGAGACATTTAAAATGCATGTCCTAAGGTAAGACCAGTACTTGACTTTTAATGTAATTTTTTTCTTTCAGTATCTTTCAGCCAATGCTACACTACAGGGAACATTACTATTTGAGTGATTCTTTTGGATTCAACATTTCATTTAATATAATAGAATCAGACTCAATCACAATAATCCTTAAATTCTCATTAGTTTTGACTACTACTTTCTACCGATGCTAGCTATCTCCCATTGTCACCTCTGTAATCAATATAAGCATTTACCTCCTTTTGCTACGTTTCATATTAGAATACAGAATTCTCTCTCAGTCAAAGCCCCAAAGGAAAAACGTTAAAACAACAATAAAGCTAAAGTATCCAATCACTCCTGTTTTGCTGTTTCTCTCTCCAAAATACCTTTAAAAAGTCTGTTATTCACAAATCACACAATTGAATGTCTTTTACTGTTAAAACATCAAAGTCATTGTCATCCTGACCAGCAAAACAAGTTCTCCTACAGTTCAACTTGGTTTTTATTTTCTATTTGGTTTTGAAGATCAAGGGGGTCAGTTAGAAACTCTAGGAAATGTTATGGTTTAAAATAGGTTTTTAAAAACATGAAAATTTAGGTAACTTGGGAATGCTCTTATTTTTGGTTCCTGTTTATAAATATCTGGAGTATAATTTCACACCCCAAACAAATGTTACCAACATAATCTGTAACAAAGCCACCTGAAATTTAGCTTTCAAAAAAATGGTGTCTTAAATCAACAAGCCTTAGTGTAGATCACCCCCTTAGTAATGGTCACCTATTTCTCTGGTATATATAAACAAGAAATGTTAATACACACACATACAATTCAAAGGGATTAATTATGACCTCTTATTTCAAGTTACATGGTCTAAAGGAGAACTGGATTCAGAATGTTTTAATAAGGTAATTACTTATTTTGTAGCAATGCATACAACCAATATTTTAAATTAATAAATTATAAACACTAATTATACTCTTCATTCACATAAGAAAATCAAATGTAATTCTCCAGATGTATTTTAGAGTGTGAAAAAAGATTCGGGTTCCATATGGTAATGGAAATCTACTCAAAAGCAACTCTACATTGCAAAAGATATCAGCACAGTCATACATCTTACCAATTGTCAGTTCTAAGAGAATTCCCCACTACAAAATAGCAGTGCTTTGTAGTAAGCCTTCACCATAAGTAGTTGTTTTCTAGGCTAGCTGGTAGACAGGCTTCAAAGCAACTCCAAGGAAAATACTTCAAATCTAAATATCTACAATAGCCATATGAACAAATCTGCTTTATGTTTATCTGACTGACAGTCTGTCTGTTGGTTTAACATTTTAAATTTATTTTCCTTTTATTGAAGACTCATTTGACTCCTTATAAAAGTAAACTGTAAAAATGATGACACAGATTGTGCTATTCCACCAAAGGAAGCAGGCATTAAAGAGAATTAGGGTCAAAGAGAAACACAAACAGATATTACAACCATCAGTTAAAATGCAGCTCATAAAAGAGGAAGGAAAGGACAGAAAAAGAGGGAAAGAAAAGAAATGGTTGTATAAGATCGCCACTCTGAAGAGAGAGAAGTAGACCATGTTAACTAAAGAAGGTAAACAGAAAACTGTACACTCCTTAGACAAAGCCAATGTTAATGAAGTAAGAATACTTACCTAATTTAGTAACTGAAAACAAGGTCAGAGGTCAAAACTATAAACATGGCTGGCCACAACCTGGATTTAGATATATAAATAGCAATACAACTGTCTAGAAACTTTATCACCGTTGAAATACTACTACTTGGAGCCTTTATTACCCTTTTCTCACTTGTTTTGTGCCATATAATGAAGTTAACTAATGGATTTTTGTTGTTCAAAAATTAATGAAAAGTTCTAAATAAAATAAAGTTGTACTGATAAAGTAAAACTCTTGGGTTTTACTGAAACCAGGCCACTTTCTTACACCATACACAAAAATAAACTCAAAATGGATTAAAGACCTAAATGTGAGACAGGAAACCATCAAACCCCTGGAAGAAAACATAGGCAGTAATTTCTTGGACATCAGCTGTCGAAACATTTTTCTAGATAAAGTAAAACCAGATGGACATAGCACTGTTCTTCGTTGCTACTCCACATCTTTAAAAAGCATATTAGCTATACTTAGGCTCTGAACCAATGAGGCATGAAACTAACCCTAAATCTCCAGTCCCCAAATTAAATGATTCTGTAACTATAGAAATGAGGAACCACTGCTGCCATTAGTAGCAAGGAAACAACATTAAAAACAAACAAAAAACAGCTTTCAATGGTAGAAGAGAAAATTGGCAGAAACATTATGAGTTTTAAATAATGTAGCATGATCGAAAAACAACATAAAATATTAACTTACTGATTTATATTTCATATTGTTCCACTGGCAGATATCCTTATTCTTCAAAGCACAAGGAGCTGCCACTTGTGACTGAGCCCAGCATTTCAAAATTGGAAACTCTGAGAAAAAGTGGTAGAACATCATATCAGAAAACCTGCATCTGGACTAGACCCTAGGCCAGTCTTTCATGTTGAGATATGAGTACTCAAACACTTTTCTACACAATGTACATGACCTGAATCCATCTTCACATGCTATTTTATTTAGCAGCCTATTCTAAGAGGATGCCTAAGAAATTACAAAATTACCAAGACTGTGCAGAAGTTAAGCATGAGTTCTTAACAAATCCCATTACAGTGGGTGCCACTTTTTTAAAAAGATGTTATTTATTTATTTATTTATTTATTTATTTATTTATTTGAGAGAGAGAGAGAATGAGCAGAGGGAGAGAGGGAGAAGCAGACTCCCTGCTGAGCAGGAAGCCGGATGCATGCGGGGCTCAATCCCAGGATGCAGGGATCATGACCTGAGCCAAAGGCAAACTCCCAAGCAACTGAGCCACCCAGGCATCCCCAGTAGGTACCATTTTTAAAAAAATTTAACTTAAACTTTTTTTGAAATATAACATATATTCAGAAAAATGAACAGATCCAAAGCATACAACTAAAAAAATTTCCATAGACTAAACTAACCCATATAAAGAGCATTGAGGCTAAGAAAAACAAAAACAAAAACCAGAACCCCAGGGGCTCTCTCAAGAGAGGGCACTTTTTCAAACTTTATTCAGACAATTAAAAGAAAACTAGGTTGGATGAACAAACCTAACAAAGTTGAACAGTTTATTATTTTCTCATCATGAAATATATGATGGCTGCAAAGTATGATTAAAAACTTCCTATCCTGGGACGCCTGGGTGGCTCAGTTGGTTAAGCGGCTGCCTTTGGCTCAGGTCATGATCCCAGGGTCCTGGGATCGAGCCCCGCATTGGGCTCCAGCC